CGGTGTTAATTTTCACCTTCTTTAGAATTTTTCCGTTCCAGTACAACATGGAATTAAAAGAAAACCTCCAAATCTCATTCCATTAAGGAAGGTAATAAGGTATACAGGAAGAAAACACACACGTATCGATATCTACATAATGGATCCAACCATCACCCAAAACAGAAACGAATATGTGAAGAAAGGTACGTCGACGACGAAATAAAACATCTAACAACTGTGTTACAAGCAAACGGCTACGACAGAAAATACATAATCTACGCTACACGTCCAAGGGAGAAGAAGATAAACTTCAGTGAAGATCAACTCCAAGGCACTGTTTATCTGCCATACATAGAACGTGTCACCAACCGAATGGGGAAAATTCTAAAGAAGGAGAAAATTAACACAGTCTTCAAACCAACGAAGAAATGTCGGAGAATCTGAGAAAGGCAAAAGACAGCAGAGATCCACTCGAATCTGCGGGAGTTTACAGGATTCCATGTAACTGTGGTCTATATCGATTAGACGAAAAGAAGCATTGGTACCCGCCTAGCCGAGCACAAGCGGAGTTGCCGATTGGGACAGACCTAGAAGTCTGCAGTCACTGAACATGCATTGTCCAACTGGGAACACAAGATCCTGTTCGAAAATACGAGAAGCTAGCAACCTCGAATCATTTTTCAACAAGAATGTATTTAGAAGCCATAGAAATACGCAAAACCCAAGAGAACTTCAACAAAAAGGAAGATAAAACATATCCACCAAAGATCTAGCACACAGCATTGAAAAGCGCCAAAATGAAGCCAAGTCACCCAAATCGCGGGGAAAGTACACGAGAACCCGCCATTACAAAAAGTGCGTGAAAAATCAGCACTATAAATGACACGGCAGAAATGAGATTCAGTCTAAGTTGATACGTCTAGAAGAGTACTTCACCATGCCACTGAAGATTATAACCAAAGAAGACAACGGCAAAACCTGGAAACCAACCATAAATATCGAAACTTTCTTAAGAGTCCTAAAGAACATATTTGACTTCCTAATTGTTTCACTCTTGTTAGGTAAAGCAAAAATATTCAGGATAGAAAATGAAAAACATCAAATAAGTGACTTGAAACTAACTGAAATTCGCAGGGAGGTTAGAACATTTATAGAACCTATTCATTATGAAACAATCATTTGAAAAATGTACGAGTCGAAATAATATGTGTCATTGACGACTTGTTTATTTTGTGGTATTTTGTGGTTATTATTAATTTCATTAAAGTGATCATGAATTAGAAGTTAAACACTAATGAGAACTATCTGATCTGTTGAAGACGACACATATTTATTTGTTATACAAGAGACGAGCAGTGGAAGATATCATACATAAATAAACCTCTCGCAAAACATGTTTTGCGAAGAATATACATTTTTGTAATGCTTAAATTTTCAAATCATCTTGAGAGACTAAAATATGTAAGGTAGTTGATAAGATTTGGACTCTATTTTTTAATGGTCATTCAATGGTTAAATGTTTTCATTGATAAATTGATGGATGTAGCGTGGTAGGAGATCATAATGAAAAAAGAAATGAAAATTTCTATGTTTTTTACCACTTTCAATTGTAACTAACGTTACTGCATACAATAAACTCTTTATTGTATTAGTTTGAAAATGTCCATATAGGACGAAACTGCAGTAACGTTAGTTACAATTAAAAGTGGTAAAAAACATATAAATTTTCATTTCTCTTTTCGTTTTCATTGATGTTTTATCATATCTCCAAAGTAATGAATTAATAAAGGAAAAAGATTCTCCAAGATCTTTTAAAATAACAATTCACTTAGCTCTTAGCTTGTGTACCTTTATTAGGTAGTCAACCATGACTACTAGTCAATATGACAGTGAGCATTAGTACTAACGAAAACTTAATGTTCAAATTGAGGTTATGAATTGAAATTATCAATGAATAGATTAATTTATAACTTCAAAAAGACACATTTTCAGTTGATTTTTGTAGGAGTTCAAAACCCCCTGTTTGTATTACAATCAATATTTATTATTTGGAGACAAAACCCAAGAATCAAAACAATTATGTTTTCCTATGTACAATAACAATGAATAATATAAGACTGAATATAAGTTTAAAAAAAATGTGATAATTTAACTAGGGAATAATGATTCTACAAGTTTGAAATCCTGTTTCTGACTGATACAACAACTTTGAACCTCAACATCAATACATAATGAAGTCTCAAACACTACATAGGCAACTCTGAGTTTTCATACTTACATTTAAGTAACACACGTTGTTATGGACGTCACTCGTTAGGCAAAAACCAAAGAGAAAGACATAAACATTAGTGATGTTGTTCAGATGATAACAAAAAAAAGTGAAAAAAGCCCATGACTAGAAAATAATCCAAGAGCATCTTTAGAAAATAATCCAAGAGCAACTTTTGAATATAAATAATATAACCAAACTTATCAATGGATGGGCCTGGATTTGAATTTTTTTTTGTTATAGCAAGGGAGCCCACGATGCAAAATGGGGATTTACTCGAGCGTCATTGAGACATATTAGGTTGCAAAGCTTAGATGATGAGAAGAAAAAAATGTTATATAATATATACCTACCTTTTCATCGGTGGAGGAAGTGGCTATAGATTTTTAAATATGTAAAAAATACTGTTGCATGAACATACTCGGGCGGTCAGATATTGATAACATCAATGTCCTACGTATTTTTAATAATGTTGGTATGTTAATCTGGTCGTTTGCATGATGTGGGTGGTTGTACGTAAGGGTTAAAAGTGAAAAGAAAAAAAATCAATCGAGCGCGTCAGATTTTCTAAGGGGGTGTTGAGTGCAACAAAAAAGGTCTCATTCAATACTCGCGGCCATTATTATAATGTGCTAAAAAATTCGCCATTTTGAAATACTCAAGCGCGTCAGATTAAGATATATATGGTTCAATCTGACGATTATCTTGAAGGATTCGCTTAATCTGACAAAAACAATATTTTTTTTTTTAATTCATTGAACTTAACCAATCGAAAAGCCCAGGAAATAGCATGTTTTACTTATAGGACGAAACTGCAGTAACGTTAGTTACAAATAAAAGTGGTAAAAAACATAGAAAGTTTAATTTCTCTTTTCTTCATTATGATTTCCTACCACGTAGTAACGGCTACATCCATCAATTAATTGATTAAGTAATCATCATCTTCATCAAGAACGAGTCTCTGTGTACAGCTGTGATGGCAACAGAATTCGGCTTGCGGAAATCGTCAGATTATATATTTTTCGTTATTCTTGAATTATTTCCTTCTAAATAAAAAAAATTTAGCTACGTTCGAGAATGTCGTAATGACGTAATTTTTTTTACAACTTTGCTGCCCTCCTCTTTCTTTACTTCACTCTCAAATTGTCAGATTACTGGAATATACACTTTTTAGCAGGTAATTAACTCACCCTACCTTAATCTGACGCGCTCGAGAATTTCTGATGATCAACTTTTTCTTACTAATCTGATCTTTTATCCCCCACAGGCGGCCTTACATATGGGGCTCATATTTGGTGGAGGTACTTAACCGGGTACAAGGTATACCCCTGTAAATTAATCTGCGGCGCTTTAGTAAATCCCGAAATCCCCGCTTGGGCTCCCCTATTATTAAGTGTTGTTAACCGTTGAAACTATCATGGATCATCAATTCTACTGTTCAATATTTTTTAGGCATAAAGAAAATAATGTTGGTGTGAAATATTTCAAGCAATACAGTTACCTATAATGTCGAATTTCTTTTAAATAACAAATTTCCACTTGAATATTATTATATAACATAATTTTTCGATATAAGCTATCATTCAAGTAAGAGCTCTTTCTGATATAATACAAACTTCAACTGATTTGCCTTAATTTTTCACTTGTAGAAGAAAAAATATGTTATATAATATGTATTTCAATCCATTTTTTTATTCATGACACGTGTGTAATGATTCATTGTCCAAGTATGCATATAACGAATAATATGGATACTCCTATCTAATCAATACTGGCCACTGAAATATTTAGATTCGATTTTTTTTTCATTTACTCATTAGTGATTCTTTCGAAAATGGATCCAAAGTAATATAAACTATAAATGAAAGGCTCATAAATCTGCTCAGTGGCAGATGACTTAAAAATTCAAATATGAAACATTATCAGTGTGTCACATTGAGCTTCCATTAGAAGTCGGAGATAAGTTTATCGAAAAGTTTCATATAAAATCGCAGCATATAAAATTTTGTTTAATATGTCATGTAATATTGCTTTCCACAACAAATTCACCCAGCATAAACGGATGAGAGGTTACGTCAGAAATAATGTGAAAATGCTGATCTATGGATTCATTCCATTTATAATAAGAATTCAGTTGAAAAATATTATATTAGGGTTGAGTGGAACAACACAGTAACAATTGTGTTACTTAAAGTTGAACTTCGCCAACTGTGTCCATTTACTTTGTTGAATAATGATGGAAATAACAAAAACGATTATTATCATTACAATATTTTTTTGAAAGTCACTTTCTTGGAATCCTAATGTGAAAAGCAATATGTAAAATTTTATTTATGAAAAATTTACTTTGATATGCCAAGCTCCTACTCTCTGGCCTACATGTTATGAATTATTTTCAAAAGAGAAACGACGCATTGGAGTCCAAAATTACTTCAAACTTCTAGTGGCATATACTGTATCTATATCTAATGACATGGGACTAGTCCCATATATATATATATATA